GGGGGGCTTTGGAGCGTGGGAGGGCACTTGGCTGCGGGCCGTACTTTGGGGCTGGGGCGGGACTGCGATGGGGCCGTGGGTGGGGCCAGAGGTGGGGTCTGAGAGGAGGTTGGCTGGAGCTGGGCGGGGCATGGCTCGGGCATGGCTGGGATAGGCGGGGCTTGTCGGGGGCTGGGAGGATCCGGGTGGGGCAAGGCCGCCTCAGACGCCCCCTCTAGAACCCGCTTTTCCCACTCCTCCCTTACTGGGACGAAGACGTGGCTGGGAGCGTTCCCCTCCAACCAGGGATCAAGGTCCCAGGGGCGAGAGCTGAGTCGGACCCCTTGTTCTGGGCCCAGGCCTGGCCTTGGCCCGCTGATAGACCCGAAGTTGACAAGCATTTCCTCAGTGTCCTGGGCTCGGGGTCCAGGGAACTGGCAGGCTGGTCTCCGGAGTCGGAGATGGAACGGGGTGGAGGGTGTATGGGTCGATGGGTCGGTGATTTTCAAGATGGGTCGTGGAGGTCGGGCCTGAGGCGCGGCTGTCCCCTCCACCGCTCCCCGCAGACAGCGTGGAAGATGAGTTTGAACTGTCCACCGTGTGTCACCGGCCCGAGGGTCTGGAGCAGCTGCAGGAACAAACCAAGTTCACGCGCAAGGAGTTGCAGGTCCTGTACCGGGGCTTCAAGAATGTGAGTCCAAGGCGAGTCTAAACTGGGCGGAGGGGCTGGGCCTATCCAAGACTTCTCAGACAAAGTATGGCTTGGATGCTTTGGGGAGTGAGGCGACCAGGAGGCGGGGCCAGAAAAGAGGCGGAACCTGTAATCTGGCAGTTTAGTGCTGTTTTTTTTATCTGTGCATTGGAGAAGTCTTGCTTCCTGTTGCAACCACTACGTGGTGAGTCCCCTGGAGGCATGAAGATTTTTCCTCTCTCTGGGAGTCTCTGGCCATAGAGGGGAGAGAGGGGCAGTGAGCCGAAGGGGGTTTTGTCTCTACCCTCAGCTTGGTCCCCTCCCCACCAGGAATGTCCCAGCGGAATTGTCAATGAGGAGAACTTCAAGCAGATTTACTCTCAGTTCTTTCCTCAAGGAGGTGAGAAGACAAGGCCCAAGGGGGAGCAGCTGTCCATCTCTAGGCTGAGTAGGGGAGAGGGTTTTGGAGGGGCTGGGAATGCCAAAGTGATCAGGGGTTTGGGAGGGCTCCATAGAGGTAGGAAGTCCTCTTCTGTGTGGGAGCCAAGCTTACTTCTCCATACTCATCCTACAGACTCCAGCACCTATGCCACTTTTCTCTTCAATGCCTTTGACACCAACCATGATGGCTCAGTCAGTTTTGAGGTGAGCTTGGAGAAATGGGCCAGGGAAGCCTGTTTCCTGGGGCTTCAGGGCCAGGATCTCCAAATCAAACCTGGAGAAAGGGTTGGGTGAAGGGTACTTAAAGACATAGCTCCCCCCTGCCTCCTTCCCAGGACTTTGTGGCTGGTTTGTCGGTGATTCTTCGGGGAACAGTAGATGACAGGCTGAATTGGGCCTTCAATCTGTATGACCTCAACAAGGATGGCTGTATCACCAAGGAGGTACGAGGCAACTGAAGAGCTGGGGGGCTGCATGTGTGGGTGGGTGGGTGGGAGTGCAAAGGGCCATAGGAGGAAAACGTGACCCACATATGCATCACCAGCAAGGGATGAGGTCTGCCCTAGTCCTAGAGGCTCTGAGGAGGGATTCTCTTCTTTCTTGGCCAAACAGGAAATGCTTGACATCATGAAGTCCATCTATGACATGATGGGCAAATACACATATCCTGCACTCCGGGAGGAGGCCCCAAAGGAACACGTGGAGAGCTTCTTCCAGGTGCCTGGGACTGGGTAGGCTGGAGAGCCCTGAAGTGAAGGGAAGGAGACTAGGAACCACAGCAGGGAACTTACCTGAGTTCTGCTTGCCTCTCTCTTGCTGTCCCTCCTGTTCTCCCTACTGACCACCTTCTTGCAGAAGATGGACAGAAACAAGGATGGTGTGGTGACAATTGAGGAATTCATTGAGTCTTGCCAAAAGGTACAGGCCCCTGCCCTCTACATTACCTGGTCTAGACTCAGGGCCTCATTCAGTGATGTAGGAAAAGGCTCCTGTGGGCAAAGTACCACCTCCCTAACTCACCCCCACACCCTAGTCCTGTTCCTTCATGGCTGGGGGAGGCTTACCCTTTCCCCACCCCAGGTTTCTCTGGGTGTCTCCTTACTCTCTGTCCCTGAATGTCCCCATCTCTGACCCAGTGACCCCCCTTCCCTGTCTCTGATAAGCTCTTTCTCTTTCTCTTTCTCCTACTCCCTCATACCATGGCCGCAGGACGAGAACATCATGAGGTCCATGCAGCTCTTTGACAATGTCATCTAGCTCCCCAGGAGAGGGGGTCAGTGTGTCCCGGGGGAACCATGCTCTAGCCCTAGTCCAGGTGGACCTCACCCTTCTCTTCCCAGGTCTGTCCTCATCCTAACCCTACCCTGGTGGCTGTAGGGATCCAAGAGCCTGGGAATTCAGTAGTACAGATCTCTGGAGCTGAAGGGTCCAGAGAGTGGGTACAGTGCATATGGGGGGGGGGCATGTTTCCAACTCCCAAAAGTTCTCACCCCCTTCCTGCCTGATATCTAGTGTTGAGGGTGTCCCTGCTGTAGGAATTGAATGGTTCCCCACATCCCACCCCCACTCTAGAAACCACAACACTAGAAAGAATGTCTCCTGCTATGGTGCTTCCCCCATTCCTGATCTCATAAACATTTCCTCTAAGACTCCCTTCTCAGAAAGGATGCTCTGTCCTTGACACTGGCTGGCTTTTCAGACCAGCCCTGTGGGAGGGGGACAAGAATGTAGATGGAGAAATCTTTGGCCTGAGCCAATGATTAAGTCCTAAGAGGTGGCTGTGGTAGAGAACAAAAAGGCCTGGGCAGTTTGTGGAGCTCAGTCATGCCAAGTAGCTCTGAGTTCCACAGGTCTGCTACCCCAGGCCATCAGAATATGAGTTTCCAGGCTTTTCAGAACAACTTATCTCCTTGGAAATACCCCAGAAATTTCCCATACCCTCCTCAGTACCTTAGGAGAGCCTGGGATCTGGATATCTGGCTCATCCCTGGAATTCCTCTCCCTCCTTCCTGCTTGTAATGGTGGTGGTAGTGGCAGGGGAATATGGGTGGGAGATGTCTTGGTGGATGCCTGCCAAAGTTTCAGCTCACCCTCCCTGCTCTTCACCTGTTTTGATGGCTATGACTTGAGTTTTCATTTGCCATGTCCTCTAGATTTGGAGGCATGGAGTGAGTCAAGAACCTTCCTGAACTTGGGTCCTATCATTCTTACCAGTGCATGCCTTAGAAGAAGAGGAAAGGAGGGAGGGTGGCAGACACAGCTTCTGAATCCAGTGTGGGGGCATTCATTAGAATCTTCGATCAACTCAGACTCTACTCCAACCCCTCACATAGCCTCCTCAATTCCTTAGGATCTCCTCTTGCTCTACTCAATCTACCTAGAGATGCCCCTGAGCACATCTAGAGGGCAGGGACCATAGGACCCAGGTCCCACCTCCTTGTCAGCACCCCTGCCATGCTGCCACCCCTTAATATACCTGCTTGTCCTATTCAGCTCACCTTCCCAATCAGCCAGAATCTGAGGGGAAGGGCCCCCAGGGAGCTTCCTTTCCCATCAGAACACTGCTTTGCATTTTTGGCTCTTCTATATATTTTGTAAAATAAGAAATACACCAGATCCAATAAAACACAATGGCTATGCACAGGCTGTTGTCTCTGCCTTTTTGTCCCTCCCACACCACAAATACCACACTAATTCTAACTCATGCACCTGCAGCCTTTTAGATCCCCAAGAAAGTACCTCTCTTTTTAATAGTCTGGCCATATCTTGGCAGGAAACTGACACACAAGTTCTGGAATGGTTGGAAACCCACATGACCTTAGCCCCCATATGAATCTCCCTTCCACATCCTGAGAGGAGACAAGGAAGGAAGGACAGGACACTGATGTCCCAAAGACTATGACAAGCAAGTTGTCTTTTGGCAGACATTCTTATAAGTTGAATCAAGAATTTTCAGTTTACAGACAGCTTGGTTAATCTCAAAGTTCTTTCTTTCTTCTTCTTTTTTTCTTTTTTGGTGGCTGGCCAGTACTGGGATCTGAACCCTTGACTTTGGTGTTGTCAGTACCACTATAACCAAGCAAGCTAACCAGCTAGCTTAAGTGCTTTCTTTCAAAAGGGGGGGCTTCCTTTAGTTTCTAATGAAAGTTGCTTTGTATAAACATCCCACTCTTGCCTCCACTATAGTTATATGTTTGTGTCATACTCCAGCCAGGAATGATTGGGGGATCAGATGAAGTGAACCCAGGGTAGGTCACCATGGGGCAGGTGGCACAAAGGGTGACAGAGACTTCCTGTGTATTCCCTCCCTTTCTTTGTTCTGCTCCTGAAGAGGAGCTGTCAACGGTAGGTTTCTCCCATCATTTCTCTGGGGCACCATTATGTGGTGACTAAACTTTACCATCCATGGGAGGACGATCAGGCCTTCTCCTGCCTCACTGTACACATTGACAAGGTCAAGGGAGGGGTATGGTATCCAAGAAGCAAATGCTGACTTCCAGAGTCCACGATTTTGTCATCTGTGTTCCCTGCTCATACCACAGAACCATCTGCTCCTAGGGTCCTTGGGTTTCTTTGGGTCATCAGAATAAAGAGGTGATGAAAGCTGTAGGCCCCCTATGTAGAAGAAAAAAATGCACAATTTCCCATGTATTTTTTGTATCCCTGACATCCATCTATGGGTTCTAAGTTAAGAACCTGTGATCTGGCCTAGCCCTCAGCCTTCCATTTTACAGAAAACAGGCTCAGAGAAGAGAGAGGACTTTTCCAAGGTCACCCAGTGAGTTTATAGTAGAATCAAGACTAGATCCAGTCCCCCAAGTTTTTGTCAAAGGTGGCCTCAAGGCACAGTAAAAATTTGTGTGTGGGGCCGGGCCCGTGGCGCACTTGGGAGAGTGCGGCGCTGGGAGCGCAGCGATGCTCCCGCCACGGGTTCGGATCCTATATAGGAATGGCCGCTGTGCTCACTGGCTGAGCGCGGTGTGGGCAACACCACACCAAAGGTTGCGATCCCCTTACCGGTCACGAAAAAGACAAAAAAAAAAAAATTTGTGTGTGAAAGATGGATACTGTACATGTTATGTGTAATCTGACACCGTGATAGTCTTTCATGATGCCCGCTACTTTTCCTTCATGGCACTTCTCAGTTTGTAACCATATATTTATTTGGGTAATTAGGGCCGGCCCGTGGCTCACTCGGGAGAGTGCGGTGCTGATATTTGGGTAATTATTTGCTTGTTTTCTGCAATACACTAAGTTCCTGAGGGCTCACTGAGTGCCCGGACTAGTTTCCCCCCGCCCCCCACCATCCTATCCCTAGGGCCTGGCACATAACAGGTATTCGGTAAATAATTGTATGATTGGATGACTGAGCATGATGAGTGTATGCATATAACTGGGTCAGGCATGGAGTCAGTCTCTATTTTTTAGGGTAGATCCAAGTTTAGGGGAAGTCTGACGCTGAGAATGGCTAGCAAGGTGAGAAGAAGGACCCCAGAGCGAGGTCACATAAATGGGATCCAGAAAAAACTATCAGGTTGGCATTCAAGTCATTTTGTCTTGGACATTGGTTGGATTCTGAATGTTGTCAGCTGCTCTTTCTCAAAACACTCTCCTTTTTTGCCTTCCAGTGTTTCCTATTTTCCTGGTTTTCTTCCCACCTTTCTGACCACCCCTTCCTGGCCCTTCCTTGCAGATTCATCCTTCTCAACTTCAATTGTAAATCCCAGGTCTCACAGCTCAGACCTGAGCCTCTTCTTCAAATCACACCCAATCTCATGGCTTTAAACAGCATGTATATGCAGAGGCTCCAAAGTTTAAATTCCCATAACTTTCCTCTGAGCTCCAATATCTACATATCCAATTGCCTATTTAACAGCTTCATGTGGATCTGTAATGGTGAGACTTACCATGTTTAAAAGGGAGCGTAAGGGCCGGCCCATGGCTCACTTGGGAGAGGGTGGTGCTGATAACATGAAATGCCACAGGTTCGGATCCCAACATAGGGATGGCTGGTTAGCTCACTTGGGAGAGCGTGGTGCTGACAACACCAAGTCAAGGGTTAAGATCCCCTTACCCGTCATCTTTAAAAAAAAAAAAATGGGAGCTTAGATTCATGCCTTCATGGTCTTCCACATTTCAGTAAATGACACCAACATCTACCTAGTTGCTCAGGTCAAAATTTAAGAGTCTTCATTTCTTCCTCTCACTCACTCTTTGTCCACCTCCATTTAATCAATCACCAATCGTGGTCGGCCTAGATTTTAATCAGCAGTCATAAATGAGAGCATGCAGTTTTCACAAACTTGCTAGGCCGCAGCCTCAGCTTTTTCCGTGCTCAGCCCGCCACCACTTCCTCATCAGGAAGTTGGCAGTCTGTCCTTTTGGCTCTGCAACTCAGGGGGTCATCATGAGAACACACAGTTCCCCACAACCAATTCCACCACCAAAGGCACATCATCTCTCTCTGTCTTCAATGCTGTTCCTAGTCCAAGCCACTGTCATGTCTCACTTAGGTTACTACTTGCTATTCCTCCATCTGAAGTAGCCCCTCAGTGCTGTGGTTACTATTCATCACATCACTAGGTTTCCTCCCTTCATAGCACTTATCACAAGCTGTGAGTTCCTGTGTTTGTACTGAATTTGTTATTGTCTGTTTCTCCAACCAGAATGTAAATTCTGAGGGCTGGGCCCTCTTTCTTGTTTTGTGGCTGACTGGTATGGGATCCAGACCTTTCCCATTTTGTTCTTTCCACAAACATTTATTATTATGGGTCTAGTAAGCGCTGGTTCCTGTTGTAGGTGCTGGAGGTGTAGGGGTCAGGGGTAGAGGTGTGGTACGGAGAAAAAGTGAGTAGCAGTTGTGTGGCAAGAAGTCCCTTCAAGTTTGAGAAGTACAGATATTTTTCTTTTTTTTTTTTAAAAAAAAGATGACCGGTAAGGGGATCTTAACTCTTGACTTGGTGTTGTCAGCAACACGCTCTCCCAAGTGAGCCACGGGCCGGCCCTGAGAAGTACAGATATGAAACGTTGTTCTTGCCTGGGCCACAGGCCACAGAGTCTGGACTGTGGAGAGTAGATGAAATTGAGGCTGCTGAATTGCTGGCAGTTGCCACGGTGTGAGGTGTGAAGCAAAGAGGAAAATGTCATGAGACTAAGGGCTGGTGTCAGCCGGAACGAAAGCTTCCAAATCCCCCAAGGGACCAAAGTATCCAACGAAGTTCCTGGTGGCCCGCAACTGTCATCACAGGAGATTCCCTAAGAAACCGCTTGTTCCTAACCCCCATCTCAACAATCCAAGACTAAAAAGAAAAGGGACTGTAAGAATTAGTGGAGCTACAAGTTGGGCTACCGCTAGAGGCCTCAAATATCAGATTAAATGTCAGATTGAAGTGAAAGATAATTCAGTACTGTCTTAATAATCAAAATGAGATTGATATGCCCATTTCACGTTTGTATCTCACAAACTGAGACAATCTCTCAACATAAATATAAAGTGCATTATGATAGGACTACAGGGAGCATTGAAAACATACAGTAACGGGACCCAAGGCCATCTAGGGCTCTGGGAAGGCTTGCCCAGGAAATTACGTTTATGCTGAGGCCCAAGGGATCTCACGCTTGCTTGCACACACTGCCCACTCCTGATTCCCAGACAAGCCAGATCTTTCACCCCTCCCTACTTTTGGATTCCTGTTTTACTTGCCCGGAGTGCTGCCCTCCTTTCCTCCCTACTCAGCCTGGATGTCTTCTACTCATCCTTTATGATCCAGCTCAAAAGCGAAGGTGCAGCCACAGCCTCTCCCTAAAGGAGTTAGTCATTATGTCCTCTGATCTCCCAAAACACTTGGGTACATCATGTGGGAATTTTGTGTGTGTACTTGCTTGTCTCCACCACCATACTGTGAGCTCATAGTGGCCTCAGAGCCTAGCACGAGGCAAACTCAATAGGTGTCTGCTGAACGAAGGAATGAATGAATGTTTGCATTTTTAAAGGGGGTTAGCGCCAAGGGAGGGTAGGGGAAGATGATTCAGGGCAGAGGCGTAAGCTGAGCTCCTTGGAATGGTGTGTCTTCACAGAGCAGAGCCTGGGTCAGGCAGATAGAACGAGCCAATCTATAACAACACTCTCGGTAGAAAGTAGGTCAGTTCCTTCCTATCTCTTTAAGTACTAGAGGCTTCGTTTCAGCGCCTGCGCATTGAGAGAGTAAACACCTCTCCTTTCCACCCTCCCCCCTTCTCCCAATTGACCCAACTGGCCACAGCCTCCTCCCATATTCCCCTCCTTCCGTTCGGGTAATGGTCGGTCCCAGGGTGCCAGGCTTGTTCTGGAGGGTGGCAAGCATAAATGGTACATTCCACTGTCTTCATTACCTTCCGCCTTTCGCCTCTCCTCTGTCCTATTTCCTCCTACCGAATGAAGCTTAATAGGCTGGCCCCAAAGAAGGAGGGGTAGCCGGGCTGAGGGGACCGGTCTGAGCCGGTCTGCGGCGCAGGCGCAGTGCGGATAAACAGGAAGCGGGCGGTAGAGGCTGCGGCAGAGGAGACCAGGGGGCTTCGGAAGAAACAGCGGAAGGACGAAGATTATCGGGAGGGAAACAGGCTAACTGAGAACGAGAAAAGGAGCCTTGGCCATCTGCCTCCAG